CAGAACAGGTCCCCACAAAGAGCTAGAAGACCTCAAATGTCAAGAGTGCTGAGATAGAGAAGACCTGGGCCAGAATACAGTCATTAACTCCTCCAGGCATATTCTCATTACTATTATTAATAAATGAAGTACTGATCGGGCCTCCCTGGTGACTCAGGGGTTAAAGTCTCAGCACTATCATCTTCCACTGTTCCATGAGTTTTATCCCCGGCAAGGGAGCTACCCACATAGTGCAGCAGATCTCTCCTGTCTCAACCAGCTGCTCACACTCAACAGTGCATTTCAGTGAATTTGCCTGTTCTGTAACTCACTCTGTCTCTGGTGAATCCTCTCACCCCCGCACCTCTGGCCTACAGTACTTGTATGCATAAATAAATAAAGTAAATCTTAAAAAAAAAGAAAGTATTGATCCTGGTCAGTGGTACATTTAATATGGCTGTGACGAACTAACCCCTTTAGAACACACGATTCCTTCTCCAATCGAAACACCCTAGGCCAGCTCTGTCCAATGGAAATGAATGGGACTCACATAGACTATTTTGAGTTTTCTAGTGGCCACACTTTGAAAAATAAAAAGAAACAGATAATAAATAACATATTCCACTGAAGTCAACCTATCAAAAAATATTATCACCCCAGCAGAAGTCCCTCCAAAAGCAGCAGTGCTGGTCCCCGACAAATGTGGGGGGCAGAGTCATGTCCAGCAGAGGCCCTACCAAGAGCAGTACAGCCTTGGGAAGCTCCCTGAATGGCCACAGGGCAGACTCAGAGCAACAAACACCCAGTGGACATCAGGCCTCCAGGGAGGCCTGCAAAGGACCTCCCTGAACTTACCTGAGACCCAGCTGTACACCAGTTTTCCCTGACATGCAGCACCATCTACTGGAAAAGCAGAAGTTTCACACTCTTAATTTTTTTTTTTTAAAGATTTATTTATTTTTATACAAGAACGGGATACAGGCCAGAGGCACGGGAGGGTGAGAGGATTCACCCGAGATAGAGCAGGAAGCAGAACAGGCAGAAGGACTGAAATACACTGCTGAGGGGAGCAGTGGGCGAGACAGGAGAGGTCTGCCACACCATGTGGGATTCTCGCTGGCCGGCCAGGATCGAACCGGCACTGCAGAGGCTGCGGACAGCTTCACAGTGTGGCACTCCACCACCTGCGCCACCAGGGAGGCCCCACACTCTTAATTTTTAGAAAACAAATACTGGGGAGATGAAAAAACACAACAAATGCCAACCTTAGTCCTCGGGGAAGTGCTACATCACAGAGACAGGACACATTCCCAGGTCCCAGTACTAAGGACACGGAAGGTCTGTTCTTCCCGTCAGAGACAGAGTTCAAAACTGCCATGATAAAAACATTTAAAGAAATGGGAGAAAACAAGAAAAGCAGATCAAAGATATACAAGGAAACTTGGAAAAGCATGAATGTCCTGGGAAATAAAAATACTGATGCGATCAAAACTGAAGCTATAAATTAGAGAATAATGGCGATGCGGGTTATAAAAAGATCGAAAGAGGAGATGAAAAACCCTAGACAAAGCTGTGGAGAGTGAGCCTGACCCTTCTCCAGGCTTTCTGGGCACTGGGGACACAGAAACGAGCAGGACTGACTGCTGGAACTTCAGCTCAGCGAGGCAATCGGCCATCATTGACCAAATCCTTAAGTGACTCATGAATGGTGCCTGAGACCTGCGTGTCCCTGGGTGATGGCACGGTCGGGAAGCAGGCCTCGTCAGCTGACCTATGTTTCTGGGATTCTAGCACCCCCCCCGGGGGCCTTCCAGGCCATTGCAGTGTCAGTGTTACTTTCCAAGGCCCAGTTCTGCCCTTCACTGGCGACACAGTCCCCTCCCAGGACAGACTCCGGCTCCGCTTGTCCCCTGAGTTCCCTGGCACCATGTGCTTTGCTTAACTGTGCCCAGGTCTTCCTCATCTCCAGGAAAGGCTCTGTTACTCACTATGCTGCTATGTGAGGGACTGGTTGGATATCGCGATACAGAAAGTTCCACTCTCAAACGCAGACTGGTCCAGCCTCCATGGCAAGCAGTATGAGGTTTCTCATAATAGATCTACCATATGACCAGCAATTCCAGTCCTAGATACTTCTCTGAAGAGGCAAAACCATGAACTGGAAGGGATCTGTGGACTCATGTTCACCACACCCATTACAGTGGCCAAGTTTGCAAGTTACAGAAACAGCCCAAGTGCCCAACACCAGAGTGGGCTAAGGAGACGTGATCTACACACAATAGCTAGTTTTATTTATATAAACACGAACTCCTGCCATTTTCAACAACAGGAATGGAACTGGAGGGGATTGTGCTAAGTGAAATTAGTTAGAAGGAGAAAGACAAATACTGGTTGGTTCCACTCAAATGTGGAACGTAGAGAAACAAACTATTAGACAAAACCAAGCCAAAAATAAACCCTAGAAATATAACTGTAAAATAGAGTGAAGTGGGGAGAAGGTCAGGGGGCCGTGGGGAGGACCATGGTGCCTTGGTGGCGCTGTTCTATGGCCCCATGATGTCCCTATGGCCCCATGATGTCCCTGTGGCCCCACGATTCTGAGTCATATACAGGTTATAAGTCAATAAAAAAAAAAAACCTGAAAGTTTAACCTGCCAAAAATTTCCTCATTTTAGGCCTTTGTAATCACAAGGAAGAGCTATTTTCTCTCTTGTTTACTTCTCTATTCTTAATGCTTAGAGTAAAAACTGGCAGAGTAGGGACTTGGTAAATATGTGTTGAGTGAATGAATGAATGTTCCATAGTTCTGGTACAACAAGTGTCAGAAGTTGATATTACAAGGGCTACCTGAACCAATTCCCCCTGGAGTTGTAACCTTAATTTCTTTCTTTTTTTTTTAAAAGATTCATTTTATTTAATTATGCATACAAGAACTAGGGTATAGGTGAGAGATGCAGGGGTGAGAGGATTCACCAGAGACAGAGTGGGGAACAGAACAGGCAGACTGACTGAAATACACTGCTGAGGGGAGCAGTGGGGAGACAGGAAAGGTCTGCCATGCCATGTGGGTAGCTCCCTGCCCGGGGATCAAACTCATGCCTCAGTGGCTGGCGTTAGCTTGATAGCACTGAGACTTTAACCCCTGCACCACCAGGGAGGCCATGCCACCTTAATTCAACACAAAATAAGACAGAGAAGCACTGACAGAATTTTAAGAGATTTTTATTGCTGTGAGGTATCTCTCGTTGCAGAGGATAGGCGGGCAGCTAACTCAGTTCTTTAGCTCACACTGGATACCGAAAACAGTTTTCACGAAATTCTCAGAGTCGCCAAGTTCTGATAAGTCCCAAATTCAGAAATTCCAACTCTCTCCAACAAGCACTGTGACTACTTGCTTGTATCCTAGAGAAGATCGGATGGCACCTTGAGAAGAGGGATTTGTGGTTCTCCATTCACCTCCATTCTGAGTTTTGCTTATTCCTTCAAATCCCCAACCAGCACCACAGGAAACTCCAACAGTTTATTAATCAGATTATTCACCAAAATTTTTAAATTCTGCATTTTATTCATCACATTAGCCACCATCAGCCTACTAACATGAAAAGGGTCAAATCTGGAAGCGTCTTTGTTTAGCTGAGAACATCTAATTTATTCTCTTGGAATGAAAGTAACAAAAGCAAACTACATGTAATTATTCAGAGCCATTCGGCTTGAGATGACATCAGCTCCTCAGCACCTTTTGAAAATCTTTGGCCTCTTCAGAGTTACAATTCATTTCATTTTCACTGTCCACCCCCATGTGAACATCAGGGTTCCCCTGCAGTAGGCATATGTTTAATTTATTGCCTCCATAAGGACTTTATTTTTATTTATTTTTTCACATTTTAAAAGGACATGTTTATTAGGAAAAGGGGAAGAAAAAGAGACACCAGTGTGGTCATGAGAGCTCTTCATCGGGACTTTAAATGATGAAATGAGACAATCAAAGCAACATAATAAGATGACACAAGAAAAGCCACGATCACTTGTTCCTCTTTTTTGTTATGAGCAGTGTCACTGCTTGAGTGCATTCCTAGGCCCAGATGGTGACGAGACAGGATCAGCCTCCTTCTAGTGTAGAGACCCATCAAGACACGTGCCATCAGGTGGTGGCTTCTCCGCCCCTGTACTGTAGGGTCTGACTCTTCCACCCTTGTACCTTCTATAACATTCCCCTAACCACCCATCTCCCCAGGAGACAGGGCAGGGTTGGAATTATGCATGTCATCCACATGGCTCCTGACTTTGGCCCCCAGAGGTCAAATTAACTGCCTGGTTCTTTAAGGAAAAGCCACATACTTGGGTTGGTCCTAAAGCTCTTCTTGACCTGGCATGCTCCCTGTCACCCACTGGAATTCTCACTTCACAAATGCATCCTTTTAAAAAATCTTGATCTCTCACCTTCATACATGCTAATTTCTTTGTTTGAGACGGACACTCTGTCCTCTTTGCCCTCATATCACAACCTTGGCATCTTATTCTTTGCGCCACACCTCTCAAGACATCTTCCTTGCCTGTTCTTGCTTCCACACACTGTCAAGTGTTCCTATTGAACCTTCCCCTTCCCCGTGTTCCTATTCAGCTCTAATATGATTAAGTGTCCGTTGTTTTCTCTTGTATTCAACTCCAAACTCCAAACTATTAGAATCTTGTCTCTCTTGCTTACCAGGCTATGGCCACTACCTACTACCAAGTCTAGCAAAAGTGTTTGTACAGAGCTAAGTGGATTCTGCAGCAGGGTAAATGCAATCAGGCAGGGCTACACTGATCTTTCTAGAAGACAGTAGGAGACATACCCAAAAGGATGCTCAATGGTCATACTAATTGAAGAAATAGATCCATGTCCACCTTGATATTTCCTCCTAAACTTCTTCAGTTCAGAGTGCCAAGTGTCTACCCTCCCAGGCCAGGCCACCCAGAGTTTTGCCCAAGAACCTGGATGCTTCCAGCTCCTCCCTAGAAACTCGCTGGTGTCCTGGCCATCAGGACGATGCAGTGACTTTCCTGCTGACAAGCTTCCTGAGGGCCCCCTTCAGGTCTCTGTTCCTCAGGCTGTAGATGAAGGGGTTCAGCATGGGGGTGACGGCCGTGTACATCACAGCAGAGGCTTTCTCCTTGACGGCGGTGCGGACAGACGACGGACACAGGTAGACCCCGATGGTGGTCCCAAAGAACAGGGCGACCACGGACAGGTGGGAGCTGCAGGTGGAGAAGGCTTTCTTCCTGCCGCCCGCAGAGGGGACCTGCATGATGGCCACGATGATGCGGGCGTAGGAGGCCAGGATGCAGACGAAGGGCGTGGCGATCACCAGGCCGGCCACCACCAGCACGAAGACCTGGTTCACGGTGGTGTCTGTGCAGGACAGCCTGAGCAGGGGCGTGAGGTCACAGAAGTAGTGCGGGAGCACGTTGCTGCCACAAAAGACCAGCCGGGCCATCAGGAGGATGTGGGTGAGGGAGATGAAGCAGGAGAACACCCAGGGGACACCGACCAGCAGGCTGCACAGGCGCGGGCTCATGATGGTGCTGTAGTGGAGGGGGTGGCAGATGGCCACGAACCTGTCGTAGGCCATCACGGCTATCAGGACGCTGTCCATGATGCCAAAGAAGTGGAAGAAGTACATTTGGGTCAGACAGCAAGGGTAGGAGATGGACTTGCTCCCAATTTGGATGTTTACCAGCATCTTGGGGATGGTGTTGGTGGCCAGGCAGAAATCCACCAAGGAGAGATTGGCCAGGAAGAAGTACATGGGGGTGTGGAGGTGGGCATCTAAGCTGATGACCACGATGATCAGCAGGTTCCCCACCACCGTGACCATGTACATGAGGAGGAACAGAACGTAGAGCAGAGTCTCCTGGTCTGGATTTTCCGTAAGTCCCAGGAGGATGAATTCTAATGCGTTGGTTTGGTTCTGTGGTTCCATGGGCATGGTTCCTCTGGAATTAATAAAAAGGAGTTCCATGAACACAATGAAGAATATTCAGGAAAATCAGATGATATTACAACCAATTCCCCACCTGAGCTGATTATGATGTCATTTTATGCGGTGCATGTTGAACCATAGGTAAGATGTTTATAATAACACATGTCATGGTTAAATAGTGGAGCTTCTTTTGTCCTCTCACCAAACGATCATCGAGAGATTATACATCTCTATGTATAAGCTATTTCTGAAAATCTACTAAATATTTAATCAAAGGTAAAGCAGATTACATACACATAGGAGGGACAGCCAAGTAGCAACAGCTCTCCTACAAATTTGGTGTAGATGTGGAAAAAATACAAACAAATTACTGAGTTTAAAATGCATAGTGATAATAATGAGACTGTGCAGAAAGGCTGAAAACACAAAGCAACAGCTGCAAAGATGGGAAATTACACTAAATGTGTTGTCTCTAGTGTTTAATTGCAGAATAAAAAATATTGAGTGTGTTGGAGTTCTATGTAATTAGCCACATGATTACACCAGATTAGTTGTGACCATTAAAATAATGTATATAGATGTGTAACCTCTAAACTGGTAATAGAAGTAATGCAGAAATAAAGAAATTTTGCTCAGATAAAAGAAGATACAAAGAGGAAACAAAAATGACAACTTACATGAATAATTACAGATGTCATGAAGGAAAACATTAAGTAATTAAAAAAATAAAAAGGGCCTCCTTGGTGGCACAGCAGTTGAGCGATGGGTTGCAAAGCTGTCCGCAGCCTCTGCAGCGCCAGTTTGATCCCCGGCTGCTCCCCGGCCACCGGAGGAGGGTCCCACATGGCGCGCAGACCTCTCCTGCCGCCCGCTGCTCCCCTCAGCAGTGTACTTCGGTCCTTCTGCCTGCTCTGCTCCCCGCTCTGGCTCTGGTGAATTCTCTCACCCTCCCGCGCTTCTGACTGTACCCAGTGCTTGTATAAATAATAAATAAATAAATCTAAAAAAAAAAAACCTAAAAAAAAAATAAAAAATATAGAAAATCCTACTATGTGATTCAGAAATCCAACATCTGGGTATATATCTGAGGAAAATGAACTCAGTATCTCAAACATCTGACTTTCCACATTCACTACAGTATTTTTTACAATAGGTAGCTATAGAAGCAACCTAAGTTGTCTATAAATGGGGAACAGGTAGAGAAACTGTGAGATAAATATATAATATATATATATATATATATACACACACACATATATGTAAAGATAGACAGATAGATATGACATGGAATATTATAGAGCCATGAAAAAGAAGAGAATCCAACCATTTGTACATCATGGAAGCACCTGGAAGACACCATGCCAAGCACAGTAAGTCAGACATAGAAGCCCAAAGTAAGTTTCATGAAACCAGACATACAACCATCAAACAACACAGAAGTTGTTTATCCCAGAGATAAATGTTATCTGCATTTATCCCAGAGAGATGAAATTTGTATTCCCACGGAAGCTCTGCACGAATGTTCACAGTCGCTACGATGATCATAGTCAAAAGCTGGAAACAACCCAGTGATCCATCAATGGGTAACGGTTAAACAAAGTGTGGCGCAATCACATCATGGAGAAATACTACCCTGCAATGAGGATGAATGAATTATTGATATATGTAACAACTTGGATGAATCTCCAGAGAATAATGCAGAGAGAAAAAAGCTGGTCCCTAAAGGTTGCATAATGTATGACTCCATTTATATAACATGCTTGAACTAATAAAAGTGTAGAAATAAAGAAAAAAAATAGATACCCAAATCGTATGGCCTCACTTATACGCGGAATTAAATAAAATGTTAAACTCTGAAACAGAGAATATGGTAGCTAGGGGCTGGAGAAACTTTCTTATAACAAAAATTTTGGTTATAGATGAAAAATTTTCGGGGAATCTAATCCACAGCAAGGTGTGAAGGTGGAACTGGTGGAACTGACCTCCTGGGCCGAGGGCCCACCCTCCACTCTGCACATCTCTCTGGAGATGCTTTCAAGCCAGAGCTTGAAAATTATTTGTGTTTGGGGAGGCAAGGGCCGGATGGAGTCAGAACTCATCTTGGCTAACCAGTCACCCCAGCAGGGACCCCTGACCTGCTGTGCCCAGCGAGTTCTTACTGAGCCGTGAGAGCAAAGCATTACATTTCAGGAAACTTTTCATTAAATTGTTGGTAACATCAAGTTGAGCCTGGCCAGACTCCTCGCCCTGAGGATGGCGGATGCTACAGGGCATCCTTGCCCCTCCACTGCCTCGGGCGTCTCTGGCAATTGGCCAGGAGATCTCGTTCCTGTCTGAAAACTTCCAAGGACAGGGACTCCCACTTGACAGCGTGGCAGGCGCAGACTGCTTTTTACAGGAACGAAACCTAAGACATGTGTCTCTACCCTTGGTGTTAAATTCCCCCTTTATTCCCACAACAAACAAAAGCAAACTTGTTCTCACCCTACAGTCTGTAAGACGGGACTTATTATTTCCCCTTCACGTTCCACGGGTGAGGCTAGAAGTCCGTCTGTCAGATGGAATTTGAAATCTAGGCAAAGGAGGTAGAGACTGGATGAGGCATTTGTCAGAAGACAAATTGCTGAGAAATATATGAAATGCTATCCTCTTATACTAATAACAAAGAACTGCAAAATAAAACAATGGGTTAACTTACTTGCCTCTGAATGGACAAATACTATTTTAACCTGGAACAATCCTTGGTTGGTGTTGACTAGGAAGAAAAGGCACTTCTGTGTGTGGTTGGTGAGAGTTTACATTGGCACAGCTTTTTGCAAAACAGCACCCACCAAAATGGGAACCATGCATACTTTTTGACCTAGAAAATCCCTGCCAGGAGTTTATGTTACGAATCCCCTCACATAAAAGCACCAAGTTCTAGGTGTGAGGTATGTATGAGTGCTGATGTAAAGGAAACCAAATCAGTATCCTAAAGCGTTATCCACAGTTGCATTCTTATTCCCACATCCTTCCCAATAGAAACAAGTGAAGTGACCACTGAAGGATAAATGGATAAACAGGGTTTGGTACACACACATGCACGTAAAAAGAAAGCAAATTCTGCCTTTCATGACGACATGAGTGAACATGGGTGACATTATGCTAAGTGGAACCAGACTGATAGTTTTGGGGGTAAAACATGATTATGCTTGATAATAATCCTATTTATACTTGAAATCTGTGACGAGATTGTATCTAAGTGTTCTAATTAAAATGAAAAAAGTACTATAGGATTGATGTGTTAGTTTTCACATTTTTGTCAGTGTACATTTATTTCTTAATGTATTATTATTATTACTATTATTTTTTAAAGATTTATTTATACATGCAAGAGCTGGGGTACAGGCCAGAGATGTGGGGGTAGGAGGGTGAGAGGATTCACCAGTGACAGAATGGGGAACAGAACAGGCAGACTGACTGAAATACGCTGCTGAGGGGAGCAGTGGGCAAGTCAGGAGAGGTCTGCTGCTCCATGTGGGTTGCTCCCTGGCTGGCCAGGGATTGAACTCATGCAACAGAGGCTGTGGATTTCTTCATAGTGCGGTGCTTAACCCCTTGCACCACCAGGGAGGCCCCCAATGTATTATTTTTTATGGAGTTAATGGTTTGCAACATTGGACATGATTTAGAGGTACAGATTTGAACCTCTTCAGTGTGCCACCACGCCCACCACCAGGGTACCTGTGACCCTCTGCTGTAGACTACTGAACCTCTCCTCCCTCTGCCTCTACCCCACCTCCTCCTCTGGTAGCTTAATTCTAGAGTCAGAATTCTAGATTTGCTTTGATTTGTTTTGAGTTTTAACCATTCCTATGTTTAGTTCTCTATATTTCATGAATGAGTATAATCATCCAGTATTTGTCTTTCTCTTTCTGACTTATTTTGCTTGGTATAATCCCCTCCAGTTAATTAATTTGATTATGATAATCATCTCACAATGGATATACATAAATATATATGTCAAATCAGTACATCTTACACATTAAATATATAATTTTATGTGTCATCATACCATAATAAAGCCAGAAAAACAATGAAAATATTTTTTAAAGTTTCAAAAGTGGGCCTCTCCGGTGGCGCAGCGGTTGAGCGCTGGGTTGCGAAGCTGCCTGCAGCCTCTGCAGTGCCGGTTCGATCCCCGGCTGCTCCCCGGCCACAGGAGGAGGGTCCCATATGGCGCGCAGACCTCTCCTGCCGCCCGCTGCTCCCCTCAGCAGTGTCCTTCGGTCCTTCTGCCTGCTCTGCTCCCCTCTCTGGCTCTGGTGAACTCTCTCACCCTCCCGCGCTTCTGACTGTACCCAGTGCTTATATAAATCAATCAATCAATCTTAAAAAAATAAAACTTCAAAAGTTTCCTATTTTCTAATATTACCATATATCATATAAAAATAGAGAACATTGAAAATAAATACGTCAGAGACAAACCTGACATGATTTAATCTCAGAGGCTCAATGAGAATAGCAAACAAGATAAATAATTTATTGACTTCAAACTTTAACGAGGTGAAAAGGAAACTAATTTATCTGATAACTTGTATATAGATATGTCCTGGACTTTATGAAAAGATGCATCTTAAAACAGTGACAGCCTTATAAAACCAGAATGATCAAATACTGATCGAATCAACTCAACTTCTGATTCCACAGCTACGTTGCCTCCTCCTCTTCTTGGTCTATTCTCCACTATCTATCTTAAAAGTATACATGTGTTTCTACTTACTCCCCCCCAAACCTAGATAATATTGAATAAACTCCTCCTTTGCCAATGTCTTTTTCCAAAGCAGTACAATAATCCTTTCATTCATACTCACCAGTTTCAGGGATTAGGGAGTGAACATTTCATTTCAAGCACCGACATTCAACCACAGTCTTGCTTAAGTCCTTTGCATGTCCTCTCTGCCTCTATAACTTTCCTTCTACTGAAAATGATACGCAGAAATATTAATAAAACTAAAACTCTTGTGGCAGTGG